TATGGTCACTAGATAGAGGTGATGAGCAGGGGAAATAAATATGTTTGTTTTGTGCATCCATTCACACAGGAACATTCATAGAGATTGACAGGGCAAATATATATGCCAATTGTTTATAAAAAGAAAATACTAGGTAACAATACTCTGTTGCCTTCGGTTTGTTGCCAACTTAGGTAAGCCACCTGTCTGTGCTTCATTTACCAAGACGCATGTAACCTGGGAGAATAACAATCGCCCCTATATACAATCCCCATCCTAGCAATACTAAAGTTCACATCTCCCCCCGTAGGCATGTCGTGGTGGGACAGCATTTTACATTTGCAAAAAAAAAGTGTCAAAGAGAATATGCCAAAAACATCAACAATTGTCATGATGACCATTAAGTTGTTGCATAGGTATATTTGGCACATTTGTAGTCACATCAGCATTCTTAGCAAAGACAAGAAATAAATGCCAAAAAAAATGATAAATTACATTTCAAATATTGATAACTGTGTCCTTTCAGCTACATTTTTGTGTTTGTTCTACAGATCTGGAAAATGTACCCTTTACCCTTTATAGTGAGACATCAAATTGCACAGATGCACCATGCTGTACTGAATAGACATCTGAAGACCGGGAAGTAGATACAGTCTGCAAGAAGTATCTTTCTTGGCAATGCATACAATTATTTTTCAGGCAGTGTACATGTACGTTCTGTAACTTCTAGAACAATGACTTACTTTTACATTAGCTATGTGCTTATATTGTACGTTCCTTATACCAATTTCTCTAGGACACAAGTCATCAAGTCTAACTCATTCGCATAACTAACTTCATAATCATAGTATGGAAATATGCGACAAGTCCAAAAGTAAATGTTACAATTAGGTTTTCTAGAGCAAACACAAAGTGCAAATGGAGTGTCTGGTTGATAAAGAATTTTGTCTGCAGAATCAGTTAACAGTTCTTAAGTTGTCACCACTACCAAAAAACTGGTGTGTCAGTATTAAGTGTGCAATGGTAGGCTAATAAAGAAAAGGGTTTCTTCTATGTCTTAGATACACCAGGTACTAGTTTCCCATTCATTGGTTTGTGTTTCTATCGCGCTCTATTTTTGTTTGTTCTGTGTTATGGAGGCTCTATCAATAAAGCTTTGGCTTTGTATTGGCTACAATAGCTTGGTGTAGTTCTGGTGAAGCTTACTTGCCACCACAGTTACCAAGGGATGTAAGAGGCTATCATGTGTTTCAACTTGCCAACAAAACTAACATTTAAAGTGACTTTCTTGCTACAAAAAAAATTGAAAAAGAAGCTCAGTGGAAACGAAGACTCTTAGTACTAACTTCTGTAGTGGAGGGGGGTCCAAGCTTTGCTCCCTTTCAGAGGTCCTGCTTCTAGTAGAGCATCTGAGACTTCCATGGTTGTCAGATGCCTGTGTCCCCCACTGCACACTCTGATTCCATCCGCTGGCCCCTATGTCAACACATGATACAGTAGTGACAAAGGGGGTGATGGATGGAACCACAGAGTTTAGAGGGTGTTCTGCATCCAACACACAAGTGTGTTGGATGCAGAAGATTCTCTGGCAGTCAAAGCTTTTGAAGATCAGATTCGGTATCCACCAGAGAGGTAAGTATTGAAAGCCTTTCTATTCAGGGAGTCTCTTTTCCAATTTTTTGGGCTAGCATCAGAGTTTCCTTAAAGACCAACTCCAGCTAAATAAAGTTTTAGAGCAAGCAAAGAAGGGTCAGAACATCAGTCAAATTTTAAACACCGTCACCCAATGAAGAAATTTCCGCTCACTTCCTGCTCTGTCTGGCACCCCCCTCCTGGACTGGAAGTAAAGGAGAAATCTGCCTAATGGAGACATGGACACCAATAACATTCTGTAAGCTTCTCAATCTACTACAAATGTGTTTTTAAAGACCACTACAATCTCCATATGCTTCATATATAAAGGTCTTCATTTCTCATGCAATTTCAGAACACAACTATAATGCATTATCTGAGCTCTCCAAATCCTATGAGATGACAATGAACAGGAACAATAAACCACAGGAAGGCGTCCTTTGCCTTTTTGTCTGGAGAGCAAGTCCATCACCAGCACTGCATTTTGGATGCATTTACTTTTCCGAGTGTAAATGTTCCACTGATTTTGTTACAAGTACGGCATTGGAGAGAATCCAGAACACAACAGCAATGGCTGATAATGAATGCTTTTAGAGAGATTAATAGCACAATTTGTTTAGTGAGTGGTGAGATAAAAATATACACTGTTAATTTCATCTGTATGTAGAGTAAGCTCCAACTGGCATAGAAACTGGAGAGTAATCTTAAGAGATACTTTAAATAGTGTCTACGCAACAATAAAAAATTAACATGACAGCCACAAAACAGATGGAAATAATCCTTGATAGGCAAACCCATCAAGAATGACCTTGTCCTGACATAATTAATATACCCGTAGCTGACTCCCACTGAAAGTAATCATTTAATGGGGAATTTACAGAGCTCTGCCATAGCACAGCCCTGAGCAACAAACATATTAAGACTAGTTTTTCCCACTGAGGCCAGCATAGGACTTTTGCTCTGCGGGCCTTTAATCCTTTGACTGCCTAAGTATTACCTGTGAAAGATGATGGATGTGAGGTCGGACCCTAAAACCAAAACTGCACTTTAGAAGTATAATTGTAGGTTCACATGCTCATTAGATAATATACGTTGAATTCCCATCCGCTGTTCTCCTCCGGCAGTAGACCGACCACTTTTGAACCCATCTGGATTTGTGGTCAGAGTCTCAAGCCAGGTATGAAGATTACACTTGCTATTCATGATCTTCATCTCCAGCATCTACTGTTTAAACCCCTACTATGTAAGCTGGCCATACATTCTAGTCAGCTTAGAAATCTAACCCTAAAACTCTAAACGATCTAACATATTCCTCCATCCACGATGAACAGCACGGATGGAGAAATCTCCCAATGTGGCTATTGTATTACCTGAATACCTGAACAGCAGCTGATTAGCCCAGTTCATTCAACAAAGGTTGATTTAGTAGGGCCACAGATTGTAAGAATGTTGTCTGGTTCCTATGCATCAGCTCAAATTCTAACAGTGTAGGGCCACCCTTAGTACAGCAGACTTCCCCTGCCTACATCACAAGGGTAGAATAATTGCATTATGGAATCACTCCATGGGGTCCTCCAGTTAGCAGTAAGGCTTTTCAGGAGGGCCCGTGTGTACTATCACATACTGTAGCTGCTGCATCAGTCTCCTTGTGACAGGAACAGGTTTATGTAAAAATAAAAAAAATACAATTTAATGAGTGTGAAGGCAGATTCCTAATCTATTTTACAGTGGTTGCTCCATGCTAGAATATTCGGCACTGGTTTCAACTACTGCTTTTAGGATGGTGCAGGGGTAGCACCTAGAGTTCTATCACTATTATGTTCTTACCCAAGAATGCTTACTATACTAGGTGCCTCCACTACCTATACTGACATGCTAGTTTTTTCCTTCATCAGGCTTTTGCTCTCTCATTTTGATGGCCGCGCTTAAAGAATTTTACTGTATGACAATATGTGTACTCTGTAAAATGAAAATGAATAAAGATATTTTTTAAAACGCAATGCTATAGAATACAGCACACATATATATATAAACAAAATCCAATACACGTAATGCACTCAGACACACACAATTGGGACCCACGGACATACAAAAAAAATCCCATTCTTGCCATACTCATTAGATGTCCCTACGCTCTTCAGAGGATTTGCAATAATTTTAGGAGGCGTCATTTTGTAGTCAAATTTTTAATGTAAATCGCCTACTTACAGTTTTGCATATCTTTTTTTTCATTGTTTCGCAAGCATGTCTAAAAGAATTTGCCATTTAATAACGTGACACAGTTTTATTCTATATTAGTATGAATTCTTGAGATTATATTGTGCTTGCATTTACTATTAAAGATTTGAATATATAGTTATTTGAAAATATAGCTTTGATAAACATCAGGTATATCACGGTGCATACAAAATGAAGAATACTATATTTATACTATAGGTCATTATAGGTCCTCTGCTTGCAGGAAACATCATCAGGAAAGTCATTTTAGAGAGCTCTGTATGTCTGTAATGTGCATGTGAATAGTGGTTCACAATAGGGTCCACTTACTATAGGAATAAAGCCTGTTTCCAAAGGAAAGTTAATGTTCAGTGAGCTTAGTAAATAAGGGGAAGTTGTCTTTACTTAAGGGTGTCCTGACTGGGAAAAGGTTGAGAAATGCTGCTATATAATGTGACGGTACAATCTGCTTTAGATCTACCATCGACTATGTAGTGTAAGGGTCAGCTTCAATTGATATAAATTGAATGGGTTGTTTAGGTTTGTCCTCATATTGCATAGTTTTGGCAAATCTAAAGGAGATTGTACAATTTGCGTTGTAGCATTTGGTCACCGTGAGACTCAGGTTTTGATCTATCCAATCGGTCATCAAGTATCCTACCAGCACCTCAGCGTTTTAGTCTGTATGCCCAAAGGTGCCCCTGGTCTACTAGGACCCCAGAAATGCCCCTGTCGGGTATTCATAATGAACACTGCTTTACCTTATTAACTAAGCTCAGTGAACTTTCATCCAATTTAAAAAGTGAACAGCCTCTACATTTTCAACCCCAATGTATTTATCGGTCAGCTGGAAACTTTTCGTGATCCAAACATCAACGTTGCGACTATATTCTAGTGAATTACCAAGCTGCAATCTCAATAATGTTCTTGTTCCACCATATAAAATGGCTACTTATACTGGGTCAGGTGACAAATGCACTTTCACAATAAGAGTCTTCCGCTGTGTTATATACACCCCCTTGTAAACACCACTCACACAAAGGGGATCATAAAAAAAACCCAAACAAAACGGAATCTATCAAACATAACAGTCTTAACAAATGTTTCCATAAACCAGTATAGCATGATGACTACATCCTACTGTTCCTATGATATGTTTTGTATTTTTGTCATTTTTTTGCAGAATTCATAAATCAGCTCCAGAGTCCCATCTTATATGTCATATCCTGTCCTCTCATACTGACGGGCATTAGCGAAACACCAGAAAGAAAGAGTTTAAACGCACGTCTTCTATATATTTACTGTACATTTTATTTCTAACATATTTTTCAGACCGATGACTGGAAGACTGCAAAAAAGTTCAACTCTTTTAACATTTCATTTTCATAGAATTAAAAAAATTAGATAAGGCTTCTTCCTTTATAAGGACATGGAGCAGACAAAGATCAGGCCGGGCAGGCCAAACCAGCATAGTGGGTGGTGTTCTCTTTTCCATGGAGCCACCAGGGATTGGCTGTTTTTTTCACCCACCAAGATGGGCCTGCCATGGGCCACTCTATTGGCATCTCTTGCAGCAAAAGAGGTAACCAAGAAATTTTGGGCAACATATTCAAAATAATAAAAAAAGAAACAAGATTTGAATATAAAACTTGAATTTACAGGGGATACGTGAAAGTGTTCTTCAGCAAGGGTTGTTCGGCTGTTTTTTGTTTTTCTCTTCGGTTTTCTCAAAAAACATGCATGACATATTAACAAACAACTCGATTTTACGAAAATATCACTATTCACTCTAAGCCTTTAGACAGAGTTCTTTCTGGCATGTTTTGTAGCAGGGCCACCTATGTCCCGGAGCCGGGGTGGGTTGGCTGACAGTTTACTGACATACTGTATAAGTGGAGAGAACCAAGCATAGAAAGCCTCGATATGATTTGTTTTTGTTCAGAGAGAGTATATATGCAAAAATAGTCCAAGGCTCAGCAGTACTGATGAACAGTGCAACATGTTTGGCTGAAAGCTGTAGGCTGAAGATGGGTAAGATCCAAAGTATGCCACTTGAGCTGCTTGTGTGACCGAGGCATTGGAACATACAACACACACGGAAAGGAGAGGTATATAGATGTTTGGGTAAAAAGAAAGAAAGAGGAAGATGTTAAAAGCATGGGGTGGTAGAGAAGGAAACAAAGACATTGTTAGTTCTGACAGTTTTATCTACTAGTTAAAATGAATTGTAAGCGTCAAGAATAAGGCAACAGTTTAAAATTGAACTCAGGGATAAGCAAATTTTGTCTAAATACAAGAGGCATTTGTATTATTAATTGAGTCTTACAGGTCTATTCACAAAAGGGTGAAGAGTTTGGAGAAGACAGGAGGAGTGAACAATCTAGGACAGCATAGCTGATTTACAAACATTCTCCAAATTAGCTCACTCTCCAGTTCAGCTATGTTCTCCTAGATTGTTCCCTTCTCCTGCCTTCTCCAAACTCTTCACCCTTTTGTGAATAACCCTGTCAAAGAATTGAGGCCTGACCCTTTGCTCAGATGTAATCTTATACGGAGGCAAAACTTGGTCTATCACCCTCTTCCAGTTGTTCCGAGAGGGGGCTAGTGAATAGACCTGTTAGTGTGTTTGATGTAATTCTTCCAGGTCTGTTGAGTAATCCAGCATGAAACATTGCCTCTTGTAATAAAGACCTCTCTCTTTTTGCTCTCTTTCCTTGTGCAAGGTGACTGGTCTTGTAATAAAGACCTCTCTCTTTGCTCTCTTTCCTTGTGCAAGGTGACTGGTCTGGTGGTAATGCAATAGGCTGCGCACTCCTATGGGTCCCTGTGTGTGTTGTGAAGTAAACACTGCTCCAAGCTCACTCCCGTGGTGGACTACAATCTCAATACAAATTAATAAACTAAACATGAGATTGTATTCCATCATGGGAGTGAGCTTGGAATAATAGCTACTTTACAACACACACACAGGGACCATGGGGAACAAAAGTAACCACCCTCCAGAAGGAAGGACAGTGTCATCACCAATTCAGAGATGATTTGAAGATCTACATCTGAGTGGTACACAAATAAGATACATTTTTGGTAATAGTTTAGGTGCTTGAATTTATTTTTAAGTTATAACTGAGTTTAGTGTTACTTTAAGAATGCAGATCCTTTTTTAAGCCTGCTGTTAACTGAGGTTTTGAGGAAATATTACTGGTATGTGTAATTCTCATTTTCTTACATATCTGATAATAGGAAAATTCTCTGAAAATTAATCTTTTGCCTCATGCTATTACTAAGTCCCTAGAGACAGAGAACTAAGAAGGAATATGTGAACAAGATATACAATTCTAATAATACTCATCATAAATAAAGCATATGTAGCTATAACCACTTAAAGTGACAATGAACTGTATATAACATGCTAAACATACAGTATATTAAACTGTAGATATACAAATGTAGCTTACCGACACAAGCTGTGCCATCTTCATTTGGCTCAAAACCACGGTTACATCTTCTGTTCGGACGACACTTGTAACCCCCATATGTGTTTATACAGACTGGCTTTTCTCTGGGGCAGAGAAATGGGAACTGCAAGCACTCATCTGTGTCTGAAAACACAAGAGAACATGTTTATCACCAGCACGTTTCCCTTTACAACAGAGTCAGAGAGGAACATTCTTTATCAACAATTAAAGTGACATTAAACCCTCAGATTTTTTTAACATAAACCAATACTGTAATGTGCGCCTTACTGTAATCCATGGTTGTTTCCCTTCTCTTTGCTGCTCTTCCTTTTAAATCCTCATGTCTTCTCATGCTTGGGCAGAACTTTCCTTTGCAGCTGAGTGCCTCTTCCTGTAGTGCTGGCTCAGGTTACAAACCTGCACACAGACACCATGTATCCATTCCAGAGACAAGGCAGTCTGCTGCAAAACAGAAGTTCTGCAGAGCATGAGAATAGATACAGATTTAAAAGGAAGAGCAGCAAAGAGAAGGGAAACAACAATGGATTACAGTAAGGCACACATTACAGTATTGTTTTATGTTAAAAAAATCTGAGGGTTTAATGTCACTTTAAGTAAACAATGTGCTTTACAGGCTGTTGTGTGAATCCTTAGGAATCTGACAGAGTTATCGCTTTGCTCAGAAACACAGTATAAAGAGCAATTGTGAAGGAACCTATGGCAAGCAATTCAAAGTGAAACATTTAATAATTGTAAGAGTCACTACAATTTGTTCTTTTTATTACCTTGTTGAAAAAAAATTTGGATTAATAGTTAAAGTGACATTAAAGGATAATTTGTTTTTCCTCCCCCCCCCCCCTACATCTGTCCCTCCAGCGGTGCGGCAGCTCTCCGATCCAGCGCTGACTCCTCTCTGCTTGCAGGCATTTCCGATCCAGCGGTGTCTGCATGCGGGTGCACACGTCCATAGACTTACCTTGCGTCTCTGCTCGTCTCCCGGCTGAAAATCCGAACTCCGCATGCGCCTGCCCCAAGATGCTTTGCGGCCGCCGGAACAGTTTCGTTTCCTCGGACGTGAGCGCGCAGCCGAAACAAGGTAAGTGTTAAGCGCTGTTAAAGCGTTTTTGTTTTTTTTTATCTTTTTGCCTATATCTACTGCTTGGTAGCAGTAGATACAGGCAAAGAAACGGGAGGGTTTAGAACCACTTTAAACTCAGGACATAAATCTTAAAAATGCATTCAAGTCCCTTAACTATTATCAAAAATGTCTCTTATTTGTGTATCACTCGGCTGTAGATCCTCAACTCATCTCTGAATTGGTGCTGACACTGTCCTTCCTTCTGGAGGGTGGCTACTTTTGTTCCCCATGGTTCCTGTGTATGTTGTAAAGTAGTCACTGCTCCAAGGTTTCTCCCGTGATAGACTACAATCTCATGTTTGGTTTACTAATTTGTATTGAGATTGTAGTCCATCACTGGAGTGAGCTTGGAGCGGTGGCTACCTTACAACACACCATGGGGTACAAAAGTAGCCACCCTCCAGAAGGAAGGACAGTGTCAGCACCAATTCAGAGATGATTGAAGGATATACAGCCGAGTGATACACAAACAATGTCCAATTTTGTAAATAGTTAGGGGACTTGAATGTATTTTTAAGATTTAACTTCTGAGTTTAGTGTCACTTACCTTACCATACACACTATGCAATTTATGAAAGCATGAATACTGGAATGTCACTAGTAGAGATCATGAGATAAAGGGTAAACTGAATAAATATATGTGAATCCCCTTTAAATAACAATTTAAAGGGGATTCAAGGTAGTCAGGAACAGAGGAACGCACCTGTCTGCTGGGGTCAAGATGTGATAACAGACAAGTACAGATATCAGCAACAAACTATCTGCTCTTTTAAATGCATATTGACAGTTTAAATATTTATTGTTTATTTGTTTCCATCTTAGGGCCCTCTTCTTTGTGACTGTGTGATCAGCCATATGCCCTGCAACCGTAAGGAAACACGGCACTCCTGTGTCAATTGAAGATCGTGTGTAGTGTTTAATTCCTCAATTGGCATACAGTATATGTCTCAGACAAAATCTCTGATGCATTTCATGCATACGTGCTCTTAATCATATCAACCATATGCCTTTTAGTGTTTAGCAGAGGCTTTAAAAATGGGCCTGTCAATTTAATAACTTGTGATCATAGCTCCTTAAATTAAGTTGTGGTGGAACGTTGCCTTGCTTAGATTTACCTGTGATTCTACCCTTTTAGTTTTTTCAATGCTGTACATAATAGAGAGCACAGGAAAAAAACACTGAAATCATTTTCAGGTCTCAGGGAAGCCCTGCAAAAATATTATATCTACAGCTTCCGGTGCATTAGCTTGATCAGCAAGTTGTACTGTAATTATAGCAATTAAATAAATTAATATAGAATGTGATGTAACAGACACGTGGGGGAGATCATTTTTAAACACCCCTTCTCTATATGACCAAATTTTTGACATTAATAATCATGAAATGAAAATGAAACAGATAACAGTAATAGACAAATTGTAGCGTCTCTTAGCATTGTTAATACAGTATATTGTTCATTGATAGTAGAAATAATTCTCATTATATTGGTGGTAAGTGGGAGGGGGAATGCCCCTTACAGTGATGGTCAGTGGGATGAAGCAGGCCCCATTACTTTGGTGGTTAATAAGAGGACGAATACCCCATTATATTGGTGGTCAGAGGGAGGGAGAATGGCTTATTACATTGGTGGTCAGTGGGGGGGAGAATGCCCAAATACTTTGGTGGTCAGCGGTAGGGAGAATTCACCATTACATTGCTGGTACGTGCGAGCAAGAATGCCCCTACATTGGTGGTGAATTGGAGGAAGAATATCATATAACATTGGTGGCCAGTGGGAACTTCACCTCTTACATTGGTGGTCAGTTAGAGGAAAGATCTCCTTATATTGGAAGTTAGGAAGCATTCCACCCAGACAGACAGCTAAAACATAGTGTCAGTGGTTACTTTTCTGAAAGACGGGAAGCTCCCCTGGTCCCAAACTACTGAGTGACATTGGCCTTAGAACTATGCAAGCAATGTCAGGTGCAAGGTCATTTGCCACCCCTAAGCAATGTCTGGAAGAACCCTATGGAACCCTGGTTGAGAGAAGCTGTACTAAGTAGTCTCCCAAGTCAACCATGATCTTAAATATAATTGCAGGCAATCATTTTGTTAAATGTTAAAAAAGAGTGTTCTGTTTGTAAGTTGTGCCTTTTGAAATACATTTAGAACCTTGAAACCCTGAATATATTGTGCTATATGTTTTTACTCAGACTTGTCATTTAAAAGGAGCAATTAAGAAAAACAAATGCCTTTTCTGCACATTCATCCAAACCCTTTGCTCGCTGAGCACCCAGGCAGGAAATTTGTTCCTATAATGACATTTCCTTTTATAATCCAGGTGTGTGACTTTCGAGCACATTAAGCTTCATTTACCTCCACAATGTCCATTTTCATTCAGCGAGAAACCTTGGCCGCACTGTTCAGAAAAAGATAAATGAGGTAAAAGCAAATTACAATCATCTTTATTCATACTGAAAAAGATCAAAAAGCAATTTCCTTTCTCTATTTATTTAGCCAAGTGATTAACTGTAAAAAAAAAGTCATTTACATGACCTGCAAGTATAATTCCAGGACAGAAACCTGCATAGTCAACCCAGTACCTTTTACTTTAGAGCAAAATCACATCAATTTCCACAAAGGGTATTCATTAACACTTGCATTTTCTAGAGTAGAGTTTAACAGGTTTTCCTGCACTTTTGTAACCATTCATAACTGTAATGGGTTAATGAGGACATGCTGGTTTATACAAGTGTCCCATACTTGGGACATGGGACATACAAGTGGCCCATACTTCTTGCGTGTGGCTTTGGCCATTCATGGCAATGGCCTACTGAGCAGTCTGGCCTGTCATTGTGGAACTTGCTGCCTGTCAACAAACCAGTAATTTATTGCAACAGTCACCCCACTGATTTGTACCTAAATACTGAAGGCGGTTTTATGCTTCCACAATTCCAGCTATGTTTTGAATTATAAGGAAGATAAGGTTGTCAAATTCATAGTCACTGGCTATCAAGCAGCAAGAATCCTGATGGTCAGTCCCACTTTTTTTTTTTGCAACTCATGGCCATAAACCATATGTGCCTTTAAAACTAACAGTAAGGGGGACTTGCCTCCTATGAAAACTTGCATAACTCTGCATGGGCCAAACAAAACAAATACCAAGGGAAGAAATAAGACAGTTCTCATTCTCACTGACTACGTTTAGTATCTGATGTATTAGAAACCGCTTTGGGCTTGTGAAGTATCTACATCCAGCATTATTTGCAGTTGCTGTTTAGCTACCCCATTGTTTGACCAGCAACTGGCCGTTTTGTGGACTGCATCCTCTTATATACAATCAGGATAGCACAAATTCATGCAGAACTGAGTGCTAACTAAAGTAAAGATAGTCTTTGTGTCTAAGGCAGTACTGGAGGGGATTATGTATTTTTCTTAGATTCAGGGATCCAGTTTTTGGGTTCTCTCATGGGTTGTTGCTGGCACTTCTTAAAAGTCCTGCATGGCTCAACTCCTTGAGGTCTCAGGCAGGGTACAGTGAAAAAAACCTCAAGTGTAGAGTTGTACATGTAGAAAGTTCAGTTCCAGACTTTACTGATGATTGGTAAAAAAATAAATAAAGCCAACAATGGCCACCAGGCCAAATAGAGGGGAGAATCTCCCAAGAGATGGTACAAACAGCAATAAAAACCTGACACAGGGTCTTTCCTACACTATCCAAAAAGAATAAAGTTTACTTTAGATACACTTTAAAGGGAAACTGTACTAGTTTTATGTTGCTCTTATTGTATTATCTTTTATGTGTCTGTTTTTAAATAGTTTTACCAGTGTGTGTATGCACATACACACAGTGTGCATTTCAAATAAATATTTAATGCAAGGCTAAGGATTCCCAGAGCATTATGGGTTATATAAAGTATGCATGGAAGTAGTTATTTCCTTTTAGGCATGCTGTCTCTCATTGACACATCAGACGGTGCTGTTTGCAGGTTGGGGAAATAAGGGGGATTCAATATCTTCTACATGTATGGGTAAATTGAAGCTTGAGCTATTGAGCACTTTATACAAGCTTAAATTTAGCAATAGGCAAGGAGAAGAAAAGAAAAGGAGCCTAAAGCTTAACCTGCTAATATTAAATCTTGTTTTAATTACTGTATATTATTTTATATTTATCGGATTAAAATAAAGAAAGCATGCTTAGTCATGATAGCTAAAGAAAAACAAATATGTACAAAACTACTCCACATTTCCTTTAGGCCTCATTCACAAAGTCAGGCCTGTAAGGCCTGACTTTACACTGTGTGAATGAATCCTTAAAGTGAACCTTAGGCCAGACTGCTGAAGCGGTCAAGAGGGGAAAGGGGGCTGCATTATCTGCCTGACCGGGCAGTGTGGCAGTGTGGCTGAGTAAATTACAGCAGTGGCTAAACTGAATTACAAATCGAATGGCAGTTAAAACAATTTACACAGATTTATTTCAACTGGGCAGTTAGCGGTCAGCCTGAAATTTTCTTTTAACAAATGTCGGATTAGCACACATTTTTAAAGGGAAATTTTGGGGCTTATTTGGGCAGCACCTTTGCTTAGAGGTTAGCACTTATGCCGCATGGGGTCCTTGTTTCCAATTTTGGCCAGGACACTATGTGCATGGAGTTTGCATGTTCTCCTTGTGCAAGCATGGGTTTCCTACACTCTGATGACATGCTGGTAGTATAAATTTACCCTAACTAGGCACATATGTTATCACATTCTGCATGCCGGTACCAATTTAATGTAAGTGGGGAGAGTTGAGGAAAGAACTGGCAACCTACATCGTAAAAAATTAAAATAGAATATTCTATGATTGTGCATTGAAGGGCCACACTCTGCTTAATAGATCAGAACATATATAAGGACTGTGATGGATTGAAACTGTTTTGTCCAATGTGTGAGATTGTAAAGAGCTCATCAGAAGCTGATTTGCCTGCCATGCTGTACTAAACGGTATCCAGTTTCAAACCATCACAGTCCTGATACATGTCCTCCCTTAGAAAGCTCTGATGAGGAGGGTATCTGTATGAGCCATGAAGTGCAATGGCCATTTTTATACTGTCCCCTCAACCCTGCATTGAATAAAGATGTATCTGGACTATTAAACAGTGTGTGGTCCTTTAGTTCACAATCTTGCAATTGGACACTACAAACCAAGGAGACAATGCAGATCCTCTGTGGTGTAGAAGCTGCCTTTTTGGTAGTCAGATCACCTATACTAACTCTTTCATAGCCTTATTGGCCAGTTACACCAATAGGATAAATCTTGTGGGTCCAGCACTTTTACTCCACTTCTATAGAAATCTCTACGGAAAAGGCTCTTAAGCATATCAGTCATGGTACCCAGAGAGCTGGCTCATAGAATCAGATATGACCAGTGACTATCTGCTTAAGCTCTCATGGGCAGTGCCCTCCTAACCATCTTGTCTTGACTTGTATTGTAGCTGTAATATCTTCCTTATATTATAAAGTACTGCACAAACTGTTGGGCGCTATATAAATGCTGTATAATAATAGTAATAAGTGCAAGCAGTATCCTTGCTCATCTACTACTGAGATATAACCAGCTAAATATTAATCCACACTCAACTTTCTGTTTTTTTTGTCCTAATTATTGTTTGTGGCACAATAAAACAAATATTTTGCACCTACAAAGTGAAAGGCATGTTGATAACATCACAAGGTAGGAACCCTCCAAAAAAAATATATATATTTCAAATTGTAATGCAAATAAAAAGGGAAAACATTATTTCGTAAGACACTGTATGTATGTTGGCCTTATATTCCTGTATAGACCTAAACCTATAAATAAAAAATGCTTAAAATATGAATGCACTCTTTGATAAAGGTAATAAAGGGACATTAAACTCAGGAATTGAATCTTAAAAATGCATTCAAGTATCTTAACTATTAACATAAATGCATCTTATTTGTGTATCACTCGGCTGTAGATCCTCAAATCATCTCTGAATTGGTGCTGACACTGTGCTTCCTTCTGGAGGGGGGCTACTTTTGTTCCCCATGGTCCCTGTGTGTGTTGTAAAGTAGCCACTGCTCCAAGCTCACTTCTGTGATGGACTACAATCTCAATACAAATTAGAACACTAAATGTAGGTGTGTAGTCCATCATGGGAGTGATCTTGGAGTGGTGGCTACTTTACAACACACACAGGAACCATGGAGAACAAAGGTAGCCCCCCTCCAGAAGGAAGCACAGTGTCAGCACCAATTCAGAGATGATTTCAGGATCTACAGCCCAGTGATACACAAATAAGATACATTGTTGTTAATAGTTAAGATACTTGAATGCATTTTTAAGATTTAATTCCTGAGTTTAGTGTCAACTTAAATGTGAGCTGATCACATTCACATATATAAAGGCTTACAATGAGTACAGATTCACTGGCAGACGGCTTTCTAAAACTGCTGTAATCACAAGTAACTCGTTATTTCTCCCACTTCAGAAAACAAGGGGTAAAAGTACCACCTCAATAAGCGTTGGCTTAGTGGCGCTGTCTTCATCCACAGGGTACGCAATTTCTATGACGGTATTGATTTCCCCTTCAGTGATGCCCCGAGTGAAAATTTTGCCGTCAGGCCAAGTCACCTCCAAGCTGCTAGCTTCATCTTTTCCTAGAAGAGAGAGAGCGTCAGAAAAGGAAATTAGATCAAGATGTTGCTGGATGTGAGGGCAGAGCTGATTATCACCGGACAAAATCTCACTCTGAAAGCCTCACAGTTACTGCCTGGAGCATTACTGACGTTATAAAACAGACCATTCTCCGTTTACGGCTTCTCAAAAAACATCATATGGGGGATTTTTTATTTCAGTGCTGAATGGGAGAACCTGTGCACAATTATTTTCCAATAGGCTATAATATCGTGTTATTCTTTGAGTTTTTATGAATTTGCAATGGGAACATAAATTGAGTTCTTGGGTTTCCTGCAGTTTTATCACTCTCTTAGTCTCTGTTCCAAGCCAACAAGCAGAGAGGGGAAAGGACTTCACATAATTACAATAAAAATATTCAGTGGTGCAAGGAATTCATAGCATGCGTGTGTATTGTTTTTTTTTTATTTTTATCTCTGCCGGTAATGATAATCTTCATAATACACATAAAGATGAACATAATATTTTATACACAAAATGTATAATCATTCCTAGCCAGTGATGTCAGGGAAAACACATTCCTAGTAAACCCCCGTCTGTGCCTCATGTGCCTTTATAGTCAAACCACTTTTTTTTATTTGTGCAGGATCTCACTAGAAATATTGAGTGCACCAAATGTGTCAGGTTTTTTAAACAAGGTAAGTTATGTACTGTGCATAACATTAAAGGATAATTATGAGATGAGTGATTTCCACTCACCTCATAGTTCTAGCAGACCTGTGACAATGAGACTGTCACAGGTCGGATATACATTGACTACAGTATCCTGTACTGAGCAAGATGTCAATTTATTTTGCCTTACTTTAAACACCATAGTGCAGGGGTAGGCACACTCTGGCCTTTCAGCTGCGGTGCAACTCCAAATCCCATTTCAAGACTCTGATAGACAAAGACATGGCTTCCAGAGACAGATGCATGATGGGATTGTAGTTTCACCACAGCTAGGGGACCAGAGAATTTATCTGCAGATTTTCTGTGGTCAGATGGAAAAAGTGCAACAGATTGGCCCAGGTGGAGATGACTCCATCCACACAGTTAAGTGTAAATGGAGGAATATGTTGCACCTTTTCCATTTGACCACAGAAAATCTGCAGATAATTGTAAGGTGTATGGCCAGCTTAAGGAATGCAACATGATAAGCAGGTATAAGCAACACATGTGCATACTTGTGAAAAAGAGATGGGAACCATCAGACACTACCTGTATGGCTTATTTTGAGGAAAGGGGCAACAAAAGTGACCAGACAAGATCCAATCACTATACCAAAAAGCGTTCTGCTGATGGGAATTTAAAAATTTCTACTTTCAGATTGTAAAGAATTGGAAGAGACAGGTGCATTTTAGGGTTCCCTCTGATGACAATTGTGTTAAATGTAGTTTGCACTTTTTTCCTCTAAGGATGAATTGTATTACTGTAGAGTTGTAAATCAGAAAACTGCCCATACCTTAAATGTGGAGTATATAGATTATGGCAAATGTTTGGCGTTCTCTGATAGCAACTCATATAAACTTCCCTGTATCTGTGTTTTATTCCTCCTCCATAGCCTGCAGCTTGAGCCCTCACCACAGCCTAGGCTCTGAGGTCATTAGGACTCCGGCAGCCGAATGGAAAGTTTTGTGCAAGACTTTGCTCAGGAGCCCAAGGCTTTCATCTACTTTGCTCAGTGTTGGATAAACAATGTAGTCATATGAATGGTGGCAGTCAAAGTAGATCAAATTCTCATCATGCTCCTGAAAGTCTTGCAGAAAGCTTTCCATTCATCTGCCAAAGCCATGGTAAAGTAAAAACGGAGAGGGGACTCAAGCCTGACCAAAGTGAGTTTTAAACAGTTGTCATCAGAACTGGTGTAAACAATGAATAAATCATCCTCAACTCTTGGTCTGTTGACAACTCCAAATTTTGGCATTCCCCCTCACTTTCTGCCTGAGTGGCATTGGTCAGCAGGACTAATAGAGGTGTGAATCCCTCCAAATGAGGGAGAACAATAACAATTTAACAGAGGATCTAATCTTTTTCCACTCTGTCCAAAACATATAAAAATGCTTTACATATCCTTTAAACATTTTGCACAATTGAAAGTCATCAGCAAAATACTGTTCTTGAAAATAAGTGTGCTCAGCGTTGATGTTGCCATGAAAAATCTTCATTTAGACCAGCCAGCGTACATTTGCTGTCCCTCACTATAGGTTGTCCACTTTTGAAGGGTTTCACCTTCACAGGCTTAATTGTAGTAAGCCCATGAGGGTGAAACGCATCATAGTCGGGCGGTAGATAGGCAAGGACAACTTAATGCAAGCTGTTGGATCTAAATAAAGATTTTTAATGGTGATGTCAATGTTGTGCACACTTCTTTTCAAATGCATTCTGATCATGGATGAGCTCCCAGCCTGCACCCGGATAGCAAAGCTTGGGATAGTGGGGAGCGGTGATGACTTTCTAGCAAAATTCTGTTGTTTGTCAAACAGGCACAAAGAAATCAAAGCACGTAAACAGAGCAAGCAGAGTCATTTTCAAGTGACTTCAGGTAAATGAGAGGTTCTGAGCCACAGATTTTCTGAAGCTGGAAATGTACCCGGTGGAATAAAATGATTTTAGGCTGATGCTCTTACTCCCATACTAATATCCTAACTTGTGACTTGATGCTTTCCGTTACCAGTCATGTGCAGCTCTGTGGAGCAACCTAATTTAGGGGGCTGTGCGGGTTTGTTTTGTCATCATATCAATTAAACTCTGATTGTTTAATAAACGAATGCATTTACATAATGAACCAGTAATGCTGTACCGGTAGGCGCGGTAATATTATGCCATAGCTGTAAATACTACAAGTTCAATAAAAGCCTGGTGTCAAAGAAGGGCAACAAAAGATAAAGCTTTCTCATTCAAGCTCTGTAAGATTTATTGAGGTCAAATACTGCTTAGAAAAGTGAAATAACCCAGGTGTATACAGTTTAGTCAGCATGCACAGTGCTGTACGTTTAATTAATTTACAGAAAACTTTGCACAAAGCCATCCAAGGAACAAGAACAAAACATTTTGTGACACCCACAGAGGAGTCCTGATCACAGCGAGGTGGCAATTATTCTATGGCTTTTAAACTTCAGAACAGAAACGGTATTCAACCTGGATAAAAATATCTGCACAGTAGAAGGTGAAGAACAATAGAATGATAGAGTGTGTGCAGATTTAAAGAAAACGTATTCAGATACACTGCACATAAGCAGCCCTACAGGAAAGCAAACATTGTATAAATATGCTTGTAGGGGCAAAAGATGAATTGACAGAAAGTTTGGGTATTATCCAAGCTTGTAAAAGTTTGTAACCACGCAGTTACTTTTTTTATTTGCACTGAATTTCCACAGGCAGGATTGCTAAAGAGGTTGCCTATCTGCAGGGCCACTGATACGGGGGTACAGACAGTCCTCCTGTACCGGGTCCCATCGAATCAGCAAAGGGGCTCGGGTACTGCAGCACATGCTGGTGCATGGCAGCAGCACCCCATAATGGGGCAGTTACAGAGGCAGGCACAGGGGAGAGGGGATCTGGATAGAGCTACACTAACAGTCCCAGAGCAAAGTGAAAACTACAGAGAACAGCTAGAGGTAAAACACAGCTGAACCCTTTACTTTCTGTCTAAGAAGTGACAGGGAGTCAGAAGGAGAGGTAATCACTCGAATTGGTGGGGGGGGGGGGGTGTTAGAGACAGCAACAGTCAATGTTTTATAGCTGTTGGTGTCTTCCTGTCCTGGTGACACCATTCTCTTCACGTTTTTGTCCTTGTGTCGCAGGAAAAGAAAGGGGGGGATGGCAACTATTCTTAGTGTTTTAGTGGGGGACCCAGGACTAAAAATGTGACAGTGTTTCTAATTGTAAGGTGTGTAGGAAGAAGGAAGGATAACCAATGCAAGAGTGAGGGAAAAGGCCGCTCCCCTCGTCTCCCCTTAATAACACATTATGTTTAGCTGCAGTTTAGAGAATCCATGTCTCCAGACTAGAACTGGACACAGTCAGCAGCAAGGTTACCTCAAAATGTGTATTCTACAATTGGGTGCCTGGAATCAAATGGGATGGAAAGGATGGGAAAGCTTAGCTAAATGTATGCAGGGTGTGCTTGTTTCCAGCATGTCATTACTACCGGAAACATATTTACTGGAGATGTTTTGCTTGTATCACCAAAGTTTTCAAAACCACCAAGATTGCAGAAGAAAGCAAAAAAAGAAAGTTGGCATTACTTATCAGATTTTTAAACTACACAGGTCCTAAAACCAGCAACATCTAGGGGAATTACTCTGAGGATTGATGCATTTAGTCATTAGGATGTGCTTTGTGTGAATTAGTGCAGGGGAGTGCTTGGCTTTGCTGTGTGGTAGAGAAGTCTTTTGCTATGTCACTAGTTCTCACGCTTTGCGCAGATTAAGTTCTCCTGCTGATCCATGACCCCGTGGCCTACACAAAACTCGTACGTCAGTGTGTCCTGCCCTATTCAAATGTGATGTTATGAGACAGGTTTCCTTGAAAGTTTTCCTCTCTTCACCCAGAGCTGATTATCTCAATAAGCTGAATGTATGGTAAGCCACATTTGAACCCAACTGCTTACTGATGTAAAAAAAATCAGCAGCTCTTCTTGTATGCCAGATCTTTTTAGTGTTCTAAGTGGGATATCAATGTTAAACTAAACGTAGATAATTTAATCATAGGTAAAAATAACACAGAAAGTAGTAAAAAAGGAGTTCATAATAGTAAGTGTTACTCAGTCTCAAATATGCATTCAAATTCCTGGCCTACTTTTGACATTTCTAGGTGTTTAGCTGTCTCTGGCTTCAAATTCTTCTGAGTCATTTACCTGGAATCACTGATCTAGGCATTTCTTCTGGGTTAAATTACTGAACCCATTACATAAGCAGACACGCCAAGTAACCAGCATTGTCATAATGGAAGGCCAACAGTGGCAGACCCTATACTTTCCTCTGTAAAGGTTTCAGTTCCGTAAAACTGGAGTTTTGGGATTTTTGTACTTAACAATGATCAAAGTCCAACTACAGCCAAAATAATTCTCTTTGGTTTGTTCTTGAGTGGAGAAGGTTTTAATCTGTCAGGGCTTTACTGCTGTCTGTGATTAAATTTCTCCTATCTCCCTGTGTTGTCAATACATTGGAAATAAAGGTAATCTCTCCAGCAGGATTACAGAGTAAATACCGATCTTGCTTTTATCATTTATATGTTTTATTATTGCTGTCTATGTCATAGTTAGGTTGCAAAAAGACACATCAAGCTTAACAGCAGGTCAACCCAGTAGTCAGTCTCCTAAACTGAGATGCAGGCAGCAATGGAAACCTGAGAGAGGACCTTACCTATTTCCCACTCTAACCAACATGTAAAATGTTTTGGCAATATTAGGGCTTTAAAGCCCATCTCCGGACAAACACAAACATACCCTGCATTGAGGCTACCCCCATACTGCAAGGGTTAAGTGTTAATTTTAATTACCTGATCCCCACTCCCCCAGTGGTCAGTGCTTTCCTCTTTTCCCCCTCCGCTCTGACTTGTGGCATGCACCTTGACATCCTCATGTCTAATGTAGGTTTATAAAACCTGCATTAGATGTGATGATGTCAGTGGTCCTTGGGCTGCTGGAGCAAAGGGGATAAGAGGCTGTGGAGAACTGTCTGGCAGCCCAGGGGGAGACAGCCGGCGCTTTACTACAGTGCCTAAACAAAAACGAGCACTTAACCCTTGCAGTGGGAGGGGTGTAGTCCCAATGCAAGGGTAGTTTTTGGGTTTGCCCAGATATGGTTTTTAAGGATCTCTTCACTGAGGACTATACTTTGAGTGTACTGTCACATAATGGGTCAATGCTGTAAACACCGGGGGGAAGGTAAACATTGCAGTTTTTAATGCAAGTCATCTTTAGAGCACTCCATAAAGACAGGCTGGTGCTAACTTACGAAGGGTACAACAGTGACCAGGACAGGTTTTTTAAACCTCTGACAGCAGACAGCTTGCATTGATGAGGGCCTGCCACAAGCATTGAGTGCGTGTCCTCTTGCATCCTAAAAATGGGAATGATTTTGGGTTGAGGTCAATTAGACTTTAAAGCTGATGTGTGGACAAAGTGAACACCAGTATCTCCGGAACAAAAGCAGCCAAGGATCTGAAGTAAAAATTAATGCAATTGTTTGCAGTGTATTGTTCATCTGGCAAGGAAAGTTTGAATTTTAGTCACCCATCTAATCTGTGAATGTGAAATTCAGATATCTGGGGCTCGCTAAGAATAAGCACACTAATAAAGCTCACTCAGGTGACTGTAAATGTTGATTATCAGATCTTATCGAGGAAGTAGGCCACATCCTCCTTCCTTGAGATACTGCCTTTGTTTTCTCCTGTCTGTGACATTTTGCATGATATGACCATTGCTTTGTGTCATGGCAGATAAATTCCTAATGCAGGCAGCGCCTTGTGAAATCCCTTGCTTCCCTGACTCCCAATTACCAAGAATTCATCCCTTGCTAATGAAACAAGCAGAAAGGAATGAGATGAAAGACGGGGAGCAGAGCAAGCTCAATTGCTGCCAAGACCATCAAAGCTTATTTTTTTTGTTTTAATTCCTAAAATAACAAACCTTTTAGCTTAGCCAAACTTTTTAACTCATTGGTGACGCCACCAATGACTACACAGCAGCTCTCTCATCTCATTGCTAGTCAGCGCACTGAACTGTAAGTTGAAATGTTTAACACGCTCCTTAAGCTGCCTCATACTGTGGGCACAGATTAACTCCTTAGGATGCTGTCATAGTTACAAGGCTCCATTATAGGTCAGACGTTAATTACTGAAGCATCAATTGAGGTTTTACAGAGCAATCTGGTTGTAGTTAAATAGAGCAGAGGTTGATCCTTCCACTGGTGTCTTATCCTAAAGAGATCATCATCTTACTCAGGGCAAAGTCATGATAAGCTGAACACTTTTTAGAGGAACTATCGTTGTCACTGGTTTCTTTGAATGATGATACCGCATTCTCAGGGCCGGATTTTCTCTTTCTGCTGCCCCAATGCCAGGTTCCTCAATGCGCCACCTTGTATGCAGGCTGCACACAAGTGATCTCGGCAACATCGCCAAGATCACTTGTACCCCGCTGTACATTTAGCCCTGCTTCCCCAAAATGTAGAAAGCAACTTCCCGGAACTGCATGTCCAGGGCCTCAGGAGATAGGAATTCCATACCCCTGCTGCCCCTCTACTCCCTGCTGCCCCAAGGCCAGGCCTCGGTTGGCCTTGTGGGAAATCCGGCCCTGCTCATTCTTGTGTCCCCTAGAAGATTCACTGTAACTTAGTTAGGCTAGTACTAAAAGAACTGAAAGCTGAAAAACCCTTCATGCCATTGTTTGGGCATCACATAAAATGGATCTACACACATGATTTGTAATTAATGCTCTTTAATAATCGTAACAGTTTAAGTGAGTATTGCCTGTAATTGAAACCACTCTAAGTATCTCAGAAACATTTTAGATGCGGCATGACCCGTTCTGTAGCCAGATCTCTGTGGGTCCCTTACATGTGTGGTAGTGGAAGTGACCTGGACATTCAAACTTCAATACCTAAAGTTTATGTACATCTGAAACTCTTCATTGTATAGTTAGATAGAGTGTAAAGGAGTTAAAACCCTGTGAAGTTATATTTTGCTGTCTGTGTCCAGCTATGCAAATGTCCATTCACCTCCTGTCCAAGAGCACGGTAGGAAATGAAGAAACATTTCTCCAAAGTGAACAGAATTTCCCATCTTGAAGAGTTGTCAATAGAGATTAGAAGGGTTACTCTTCCTAGTAGGGGGACTCAGTCAGCAATAAAAATATGACAAATGGTCTAACCCTTCCCTACTCTAAAATTACCAAAAGAAAATGCCTTTATATACACTTTAAGGTGTGCAGTCCTGTGGCCATTGTAAGGGGTACTGGGGAGTTAAGTAGCAGTATAGACCCAATGGGGTACAGGATGGATTAAGAGCATCATGGGTCTGGTGCTGAGGATTTGTGGACCTTTACGGAAATGCAATTGCATCGGTTCCCGGGACCCTCTTCCTTCTGTCTGGGCCCGCCCCCCGGGCCAATTTTCATTGGTGGTCCTGGAGCTGGTGATCCAATAGTCCCTATGTTAATCTGGCCTTGATGGGGTATCAGACCCTCCTTCTCCAACAAAAATGAAGAAATTTGTTTTAGGTGGTGCTAGTTTTTACAATAGTGGGATTAAGCATAAATGTCAATTTTCTAAATAAACGTATATTTTTTTAGAGCTTATTATATAGACTACTTAGCAGAGCACAATACAGAGCCTGCTTAACCTCTTGTCTTCTATTCTCAAGGGGGCAGCTTCATAAGCTCATATAAAGGTCTGCTAGTGTGGACTTTTATACTCTCACTTTCCCTCTTTGATGCCTTTAGTTTTCATTGAACCGCTGTAACACCAGCAGATACTAGGCCAGTGATGGCTAGGCTGGTGGTGCCTTGGCTACCATTGGGCAACAATATTTTCCCTGACAATAATCTTAACGTCATTACAAATAATGTAAAACACACATTTGTAAATTTTCGAAAAAGTTAAAATCAAATAACCAACAACCATTATAGTTTAATTTGCCACTTAACCTTAATGCAATTTCACTACTACTATTCATCATTACTAGCTAATTACTGGCTAATGATCCTAGTCCAAAAACCAGTTGCCTTAAATATATAGATTTTAGGGGGGTATTGTTAGAACAAATAACAGGTTGGGGTTTGACAACCTTAATATAAATATCTGTCTTGATATTTTTCCTTTATTCTGTCAACCCCAGGTTGTTGCTAAGCTACTTGTCTGGAAACGTAGGTAAAACAAGAAGAATATAGATCTCATGTGACCAGTGAAGAAGTAGTCTTTTCTATTTTAAAACCTAATTAGAGCTGCACAAGACCCTTCAGCTCTAATGTGTCGAGTGACAGACCAGGGCTGCTCAGCACACCGTACAGAAATAAAAAAAACAACATCTGTGTACCTACCAAGACCAAAGTGAGCCACTGGCTCCATTTCACAGAGGTAACCAGATCCACCATCAATTATTCTCAGATGTGCTCCGCTCTTCTTTGTGTACAGCACTACTTTTGCACCCCGAGCAAAAGCACCAAATTTGGTACGAGGTATTACTCTGAGCCAATGGTTTTTCAGGCCCTGGAAAAAAATAGCATATATGTTAGTGAGCTATATAAGCTTTAAAGTGACATTAAAGTCTAACTTTGTTTCCTCCCCCTTTCCCTATGCTGGTGTAAGGACTTACCTTAAAAGAGGCCTCCTGATCTGATCATCTTTTTCTTTCCTGTAGTTTTCAGCAGTCCCTTCAGCACTGGTGCCAGTCTCTGATCCAGCGCTGACTGCTGTGTCTTCTGTGTCCCACAGTGTATGTGCGGGTGCATGCCACCAACATTGACTTACCTTGTGTCTCTCCTCTCCTCCAGGTCAAAGATCTCTACTGGGCATGCGCCCGCCTGAGAATTTTTCAGATCTTCGGACGGGAGCGCGCGGCAGAGGCACAGGTAAGTTTTAACCTTTTTGGTGACTTTTTAAAATGTTTTTGCATATACCTACTGCTTGCTAGCTGTAGATATATGCAAAAAACTCAGAGGGGTTAATTATCCTTTAAGTTAAAAAACGTATAATTCACTATACGGTATGTACAGTATATTCTGCAGGGAAATGTCCCTTACCCGTAGTATTGTAGAGGGCTTTCTTTTGTCCCCCTTAAATTCCTCCTTTTCCATAAAATGCACACAATTGCCCCACTATGCTCAATATATAGTTGAAGCTCTGCTGACTTCCCTCATCCAAAGATGTGCAACAAAAATACTGTTTTTTTTCCTTTCATGTGATTGGGTATTGTTTTTGCAAAGTGAATTTTCACCGCATTCAATAAGCTAAGAGAAAATCCCCTGCAAAGTGAACAGCATATTTGCCTATGGTACATCAACCCCATTATCTAAAATGGGACTGTAATGAAGCATATTCTCATATTATACAGCAGGCCGTGTATTAGCAATAAACCACTTCTACTAACAGATCAGAATGTGGAAAGCTGTTACATAACGTTGACCACAACTTTAATCTCCTAGACACCAAACAATTGAGTGCCCTGAATGATCTGCAGTAGAGAATACTCCTGGCCCCATTTCCACTGCTGGTGGCCACTGTCTGCCACATGAACCTGGTTTTCTGCAATTTATACTTCAGGTCCAAGTCAATGCATAATTATAGCTATTCTCTATCTACCTTGGCATATTCACCTAATATGGAGAGGTTCTTGCTTGTGAAAGAATTGACTGACAGGTGCATTAAACCTGCAGTTGACCTCCTTCTCACCTGCATTCAGTCTACTTCATTTTCTTCTAATTTTTACAATTCTCTATCATGGCAGTCTTTTATAAAGTAACCTGGCAGTTTAATGTAAGATGACCACATGGCCTCTTATGGTAGCTAGTGATAAACATGCATTTGTGGTAGTGTGCCAGGATCAAACTCTATAAATTGGGTTGTAGGTACAAGCAAGTATGAACGGGATGTAGTTTTATGGGAACAGATCTATAGATCTCTACATCCTACAGTATAAAAAGTGTCATTCACACATTAAGGTGGTTTCTTCCTCACTTCAGCCCTATAGTAGCGAAAATCAATCCTCACCTGTTTACCTTTGAAGACTGATATTGGTTGTGCCATTGACTCTCCATGAGAAAGGATTAGATCCAGCATTCCGTCACCATCAAAATCAGTAACAGCTCCACCTACAAACAGTTCATCAAAATAATTCCATGAGATGTGGACTAAAGGTGGCCACACGCTTATACTAAACAGGAATGATCCTGCTACTGTAGAAGTCAAGACCATAAGAACGTATATTACAATTACTATAAATGTAAACTCAGGTCTTTATTTTTTTTCTGGCTTGGTATACAGCAAATGCACTGCCCGATCAGCAGTCTGTGACATGCTCCTATGGGGGAGATCTGAACGATATTTAACTAGCTGAGCAACTTATCTAACCTTCTCCCTAGAACGTATTGTGCATAGATTTGGTTTATGTTTGCAAATTGACTGCACACAGGCACGGCAGAGCAGGGAAGTAAAAATCACCCCTCCGACTCAAATACAGACCATACCTGAAGTTAGAACCTCTGATCTACATAAATGTTCTGGGTCAGTGACGTAGGAAGTACTGGAACCAGGCCACCAGCAAATCAACCAGACATATGGCAAATTCATAAGGAGGTATTTATGTCTCATGACAGGTTGACTTTCAATTTGTCTTCTTCTTCATAAAAAAACAACAACTTTGTAATAAAAAAAAGTACCAAAAAGATATCTTGTACAAGCTCTCGTCTGTATTTCACAAGTGTTATAATTATTTACTCTGACTATAAACCAGAAAGTAATTAACATTCCTTTCCATAAACCTCTACTAATCTCGGTAACAATGTCCTACTTTTTAGCCGTCCTTCTAAGAATATGAGCCCCTAATTGGAATTCTTTGCATAAATCTGGATTAGGAAAACCAGTTTTACGAACAAGATGTTTTAAAATAAAATAAAATTAAAAAAGCCCAGATTGTGTGATAACCCATTATGAGTCCTGAAATGTACCACACTTGAGGGATTAGTGCTAGATGGAAGGATTGTACAGATAATTCATACACAGAGGATGACATCTACAGACAAAACGAGAGCGCTGAACAGAAAGCATGACTTAACATTAACAACATTAATAAGCTCGAAAACTGTAACCAATGCACAATTCTCTAGTGCCACCCCCTGGAATATTTGTAAAAATACACTTAATAGTGCCGCAGATTCAGCTAACAATAAGACAATAACAAATATTTTTTAAAAGGGGGTGCCATTGATATTAAATCACAATGCAATGCAGACAGATAATTAGCAATCTGTATTCTCTGCAGAGAAATTAACTGTTGATGGTACTAATGACTTTAAATTGACAGGGACTAACACAAGGGGATGTACAATGTAAACTGAACATACAATTTGTAAACACTTTTCTGTTATTTATAATAACAGGTAGCGCCAACAATTTATACTTTATATTAGGAGCCCCCTACCTTAACATCAGAGCTCCTTTTATATAAGGAGCCCCCTCCTTTAACATCAGAACCCCCCTTCACATTAGAGCCCCCCTTCACATTAGAAGTTCTCTTCACATCAGAAGCCCCCCTTCACATTGCTGCAACCTGGAAAGGCATGACACTGTGCAAAAATTATGAGGCACCCCTGAGGGAGCCAGAAAGGCACCCGGGGTGCCACAACACCGTGGTTGAGAAAGGCTGCACTAAACCACTGTGTTGCCCATACACTTTTATTATGTACTCAACAACCCCTCTTTATTTTTTAATGCAGACGGAGTTTAAAGGAAACCTGTGCTGAGAGAACATAGACTCTCCCATTTTTGTCCCCTCCTTCTAAGAAAACTAGTGTCTTAGCTTCCATGTTAATTCCCTGAATTCATTGCTTTCTCAGTCACTGACCCAGAACAAGCATTAGGACTTCTGATTTTAGTCTCACTTTTCTTGTTCCATTCCTGTTTTCAGACAGGGGTTCAGAAACTATTCAGGAATGACAGTCTACATATTTATTTTAAGTACAGGTTTCTAAGTAGCAAAACACCCATGATTCATTTTTATGTTCCCCAGGTATTAGGTTTGTCTTTGTTGTCAATATAATTCTGCTGCAGTGATGGAGAAACAGAGCTGTGGCAGCACTGGGTCAGTGCTCTGGGAAGCCCAAAGTACATCCCACCATCTGGCAGATGGGCAATTAGAGGAGTTTTAGAAACACATAGTGTTTAGGGGAGTTTAAGCTTAAAGTGTACCTGTAAGTCAGAAAAAACTTAAAAAATAGTGACACAGCCAAAAGGTACCAAGTGGTACACTTCCAGGGCAAAAATGTAAAAGTCTCTGGGTGTATTATATTATCTCCTGTCCAAGCTGTTGTTTAAAAGCCCAACTCCAGCCACAAGACAAAAAACCCTTGCAGTGGCTCTGTAAAGGTTAACTGCTCATTACGTCTAGGGGTCCAGGAGTAAAAAGTAATACTTGCTTTATTCTATGCTTTGGTAGATTCCCTCCAACCAGAGATGGTTGGAGGGAATGGTTGGACAATGCAGGGCTGATAGTCCTGCATTGTACATGATGACTCCAGTGGACTGCCCACAGTACGGAGCGTCAGAGCGAAAAGGAGAGCACCAAAGCCTGCTGTAGCAGGGGGTGAGGTAAGTAATATCTCCTCTTTTTGTATCCTCTACCGAGCACATAACCCTTGCAATAGGGGGGACGGACAGCTTTTTTCATCTTGTGCCTAGAGTTGGTCTTTAATGTGCACATTAAACATGTGGTGCACAGTTATCACCAGGATGGGTTCATGACATTCACTCAGAGCCTTACAGTGTTTGTGGCATACAGGGTTTGATGATCACATACACAACATGTACATTTAAATAATGTTTTGTGTTACATTGGTTAATTGGTGGATTTTTCATATTAAGTACCCAATCTGACCTGGAGGTGAGTGATTGTTCCGGGAGGACAGTGGCAGAAGGCATTAGCTGCCGATTGCTGCAGCATGTAAATATCTGAGCTTGGATTTGGGGGATCCAACTGCGATGTCAATAACAATGCATGTTGAAATAAAAAAAACTATTTTGCTACCATTAGGGAAACTAGCCCACCTGTGTTAGCCTATGTAAAGCGGATGTTGAAACCAACTGGACCCACTGCAATGCCTCTTTCCAGAGGGCATCTTCCATTGACCCCCACATCTGATTCCCATCCACTCCTACATTTCAAGGGGGATTTAGATAAAATACCCAGTAGAAGATGTGCATACATCCTTGAAATCACCCCCCTGTTGAAGTTGTATGGAAAAGAGTATTTATAACCATCTCGGAAAATTGTATTAACCCCCCTAAATAAACATTGGGGGATCCAGCATGGGGAATTATACAGTACTTAAGAGAGCTGGGGCAAAGGCCTTAGCTATCTCAGCGATATCAAGAGACAATAAGGTTCTATTTCCTGTCTGATCCACAGGAACTTGTATATTGAGGAAAACTCTACGCGCATTGTCTGCGGTTGACTTATTAGACATGAATCCAGCCTGATCTGGATGTATTATAGTGTGAATGACCCTTGATAGTCTATTAGCTAATACTTTCGCAAGGATTTTAATATCTGTATCCAATAGGGAAATTGGTCTATATGATTGTGGTAACAGTTGATCTTTTCCTTTCTTATGCAACACTACAATTCTACTAACCAGTTCCTCGTCCATCCGGTTCAGAAGCATCTCCAGGATTGAGCTCCTCCATAAAGGGATCTGCATGCTCCCGGCGCCCAACCCTGAGAAAAACAGAAATTAGAATGTTATGAGGCATTCTATAATGATAGGACAGTGTCTTGAGGAAGATGGAGTGAGCTCCATCGAAACGTCAACAATAAAATGCTGATGCTCTGACTCATCTCCACTGCAAGACACATGAGTTCCTCTAGACCTACTTTGGATTTGTAATGATATGACTATATGTAGCCACATTAGTTCTTATTGCTCTGAGCTTACAAAGCCATGGACACAGAAACCTACATATTTCCAGTATACTTGCATACACCTGTACAACACTGGATCACCCTATATGACAGCAGTATTTATATAAGCATAGTATGCAATATCCAAAGTAGTCAACATAACACAATTGTCCATACCCCTGTGAGGCAGCAATGCTGACCATTGCATTTCTTTGACGGCTTTTAATGCAGTTACATTTATTTCTATGCTGCCAGCATATTGCATATCAGTTTACCTGTTTAATCTTCAGGGGGAATATTATAATATAAATAAATTCCTCATAGCAAAATTCAAGGCAAACAGCCCCCTGTCACAATATATTTATATACGTTTAGGGGTTCATTTATAAAACAATGCCTGGCAGATGTTGTTTGCATGGCACTAGCAACCCTAGATAGTGCTTATGGTTTCCTATACTCATTAGTGCCATCTATGGATGCAAGCCATGCAAACAGCATCCATCTAACTATATGCTGGGTGCAACTTTAACAGGGTTATTCGCAGAAGGGTGAAGAGTTTGGAGAAGAGAGGAGAAGTGAACAATCTAGGCCAACATAGCTGAACTGGAAAGTGAGCTGAATTGGAGATTGTTTCCAAATTAGATATTTTGGCCAAGATTGTTCATTGCCTTCTACAAACTCATCACCCTTTTGTGAATAACCCTGTTATAAATCATCCCCTTACTGCTTAACCTGCCAATAAAATCCGGTGTATCCAGTCTTGTGATTTACACAAGCTTTCCTGCACAATCAGCCTGGTGACACATGTTGTTCCTTATTAGGCAATCCATCCTCCTGGTTTAGCAATTCAGCTTCACGTAGACTCCTCCTTTGGTCTCCTGATTAGACAGTTGATCAACTTCATCAAGTCTGTCCAATGAGCTGGTCCCAGGAAGTAGCGGCGCGATCTTGCCAACTAGAAGGGATGTGTGTATGTCACGAAACTGGTGGCACTTCACCCTTGTTGCCTGGAGTCCCACTTTGCTATGCTTCTAAAGTTTGCAAATGCATACACGTGCCATGCTAAGCAATTCATTGTTGCTTGGGAGCAGTGATGAGTGGGTGTGTGGTGCTAACCAAGATCACCAGAGTTCACCCAAGCCCCTGCAAACCTGTCACTGACACACCTCCCTCCCAACCCAATCAGTTGTGGCCGGGATATTCCCCATCCCTTTGTGACATGTAGCCGTGGGATAGAAAATGTTCTGGCCACAACTGATTGAGCCAGGAAGGTGGTGTATCAGTGACAGTTTTGCATCAGCTTGGGTGAACCCGGACTATCCCCGGTCATCACTACTTGGGACTTATCCAACGACTTTGAATACCCTTCTTTGGTTTGTGAAAACAAATGTATGTGTGCCGTGCCGACTAGGCCAAAACTAGAAAACAGCATTTGCTTTAATCGCACATCAACAAAGTGATTTGTGCATTCATGGGCTATCACGCGAGATTGGGTCCAGATTTTAATTCAGAGTTTTGCTGCTAGGCAAAGCAACCCTGAGCTCCGGAATTAAAATCATTAAAAAAAATGTTAATTTGTGTGTATTTTATTTCATTATTTGACATTTTTATGATCAGCTGCATTTCTGGAAAGATGATAGAGCTACGGCTGCAGCGAGTTGATTGAAAACAGGCAATTACAGCAGCCATTATGTGCTGAGCATTACTATCTTATGAGCTGCATTACATTCTTTAATGTGCCAGTGGAAAATGAAGATAGGCCAAGCCATTATTCTTTGTTACAATGAAAGTCTGGATCAAACAGCTAACAATTACTGATCACAGCAACACGGTAAGCCAAGAAGTTTTATGTTTTTATGCTAGTCTACCCAATAAAAAAATAAATTGAAAAAGAAAACAGTCTTCATGTGTTTTCCGAATAGCAGCGTGTAATGTAACAAGTAAATACAGTTTATAACTAATTTCCAACTCATTAAAACGGTATATCTTAACAAAAAAGCGCCGTATTTCAGCAGGCTGTCCGCTTGAAGGAAATGCAAATGACTGAGCGCACATTATAAAAGAACACACAATTTTTTTCCCGCTAGAAGCTAAATGAATGTGTCCATTATGAATTTGCTTCATAAAGAACAATGGTGACCTGCACAGTACAGTTATCCAGCATCCGGATTCGGTTTATTGTAGCCTGTTTGGTATAAGATAATTTGTGGCTACTATATGATGAATTCTGATACTAAACCCTTCATGCTGTTTTTTTGCCTTACAGTGAACTTGTGGGGGGAAGAAAATGTATAATTTAGCACTTTCTGTATCTAGCGGCATGAACACTGGCACAGCTTTTCTGTAGAACAGCCATTGTAATGGCATAGGAAATAAAAGTCACCAGCACACCGTCTTCTTTGTGGATCAAAATGCCATTACTGATGTCTTGAAATAAGCATATCACACAAAAACTTGCAAATGAATGACGGATGGCACCATCAAAAACAGCATAGGAAAAAAAGTCACCAGCATTCTGTCTCCTTCGTGTATTAAAGCGCCTTTATTGATGTCTTGAAATAAGCAGATCACACAAAACTTTGCAAATGATTGGTGGATGGCACCTCCAAAAGCAGCAAAGGAAGAGAAGTCACCAGCACACCGTCTTTCTGAATCAAAGCACGCACCCACTCAAGAATGAAAGTGGATACAACAGTCAGTTGTCCAATGGGCTACCTCCACCCATTGTAATGGACACACTGCCATGCAATCACCAAGTTAGCTTTCTGGTTGCTGGCCCCTTCCTGCCAATATGCTTTTTAATTGGTTAGTAGAGTCAGTATCGGGACAAAGTACACTGGAACCCAAAGCAAAGATGTTCCCTCCCCAGGAATAGTGGTGTGATTAAACCAGTGCTCACAGTGAGTATGGTAAAATGGAACTACATTTCATTAAAGCACAAGTATATTGGTATACCAGAGTCAAGCATAGTGGCTTAGTAGTTAGCACTGCACTGGGGCCCTCGGTTTGAATCCTGCCCAAGAGAGTATCTGTATGATTTTCTCTCCGTGCTGTTCTCCCACACTCCAAAGATCTGCTGGTAGGTACAATTGGCTCATGTCTAAACTGGCCATAGTATGTGTGAGTAGGGACCTTAAATTGCAAGGAAGCTCCTTGAAGGCAGGGACTGATATGAATTATGAATGCATAATTTGTAAAGTGCTGCATAAATTGTCAGCTCTATATAAATACCTTTAATAAATAGACACTCCATTTCCTTTAAAGCCACCTGCCATAATGCAGGCCCCTCCTACCATCTTGTCTTGAATTGTATTGTAATTGTAATGTCTTCTCTATATTGTAAAGCGCTGTGCAAACTGTTAGCGCTTTAGGTGTTGCAGGCCTCATAGTTTTGGTTCTCATTGCTATGGTTACATCTACACCTCCCTCCTCTTCTTAACATTTATAAAACATACACACCCTCGCTTCTTTTTGTAAACGGCCACTAAAAGGTTTTTAAGCACTCATGAAATCACTTACAATGGATGCTCCTTGATGTTCAAAAGTTCAGTGTCCCCTAATGCACACATGCAGCAGCAAGTAAAGACATGCAGGGCCTCCCCATCAGACACCCCCTGTTCATGCTGCCCTGATTCAGGCTGTAGTCCCCTCACCCGGCAGGCTCCCTCTCCCCCATCCAGATGCAAAGGCCAGTGAACATCGTTTATTTCACACTCTGCCCCATCCTCCTCTACATGTGCCTCAGGATACCTCTCCCGATGGGATCATCTGTGTCTGCTGGTAGCAAAAAATACTATATTGATGAACTGGTTAATACCCTCTCCCCCTTCTTAACATCGCTGAAGGAACTCCTTCACAAATTGATGGCATTAGACAAATTAGAGGCCAGTTCACTTCTAATTTTTTTGCCACTTGGTCCCCATTCCTTCTGACCAAGTTGTCACCCGGACAATTGGAGGCTTTAATGTCACTGTTCCAATATACGAAGTGGTACCTCGAGTCTAAGGTAGCAGGATCACTGGGTCTTTTAGATGTTTTTTTGGACCTCTTGGATGTTCTATCCCTCCCACGCTCCAATTTGGGATACCCAAACATGTGTTCTTATTTTTTGTTTTGACTTCTCATTTTCACTGTATAATGATCTTCGGGCAATGACTGCATCTCTCCACTGTCAGATATGGGGAATTAATATGCGTATATTCCGAGTGTGCTGGTTATTGGTTAGTAGATATCATTGTTACTATGTATTTGCTGTTCTTTTTCTGCTATGCAAATGTTCTTACACCCGTATGTAGGGTTGTACTTGTATTATTATATATCAATAAAAATCAATTGCTACAAAAAAAACATGGACCTGGATGGTTTACCTACAGTGACTGTTTGGTGAATGCCAGGTTCACTGCTTTATACATTTGCCCCTAGTTTTAAAGCATTGTGAAGTACATGCACCCCCTTATTTTGCTTAAATACTTTGTCTGTGCCTGACACTAAAAACATAAAGACAGGTACTGCCTTGTCAACTGACTGCTCAGATTCCTATTTTTGCTCAGTTATGACTAGTTGAAGGACAACAGGGAGATCTTCCAGCATTCACTGAACAGGGGGTCATAATTATTAGAAATTAAACTAAAAACTGAGTCTCCCAGGTATAGCCATGGAATACGCCTGGAAGTCTACCCTCCCTATGAATGATCCTCTTGTAATAAAATTGCTACTGACATTTTTCTTGAATGATCATCTCAAGTGCACATGTCACTTTCAGAGTGCCATCACACATCTGTTCAGATTCTGATGAAGATGCTGAATGTCCCGCAGGA